ATGATGAAAATGTAGCTGCGGCCTAGGCGGCGCAGGGGGGGCGCGCACCAGGGGGCCCAACAATAATTATTCTTTAGAATAAATAATGTTCAACAACAACAACAACAACAATAAAAATAAATTTAAGACTGATCGCCGTTATATGCTCCAATGTCCAATAACGCGTATTTCCCAAACCCTCGATACCCGCCCTCTTCGCCTTCGATCGAACCCCTTTTGGGGGTTCTACCTTTCTTCCCTGCAGGCCAGGCCCCGGCAAGTGGCGGGGCGGCCGCGGACCGTCGGCCTGGCCAGCGGCAGCGCTAATCGGCGGAGCGGCTTCGGACCGTCGACCCGACCCCAAGAGGGACGGACAGGGGACCGACCACGACGACGACGACGACGACGACGACGACGACGACGACGATGACGTCGAAGACGACGGCGACGACGACGACGGCGAAGACGAGCGAAAGCAAGAGCGAGAGAGAACGACAGCAGGGCCACGAAGGGCACGAAATAGGCCACGAAGGGCGACAGCGGGGACACGAAGGGAATGCGTATGGGGCCACGAAGAGCGCGAACGAGCGGGGGCCACGAAGTGCAGATAATGCGGGGCCACAGAAGGCAACTATGGGGCCACTGAAGGTAGCAACTGGGCCACGTAGGACAGTGAGGGGGACACAAATGGCGACAGCGGGGCCACGAAGGGCACGCACATGGGGCCACAACGGGCGCGACTCCTGGGTGCCTGGGTGTCGGGAGCGCGGCGCTTGGGCAAATTGCAAGAAATTCCAACGCAAGGCCATTCTTCAGGAAGTTGCAAGCAAGTCTCCAGCGAGAGCGCGACTCCAGAGCGCCTGGAGAACGATTCCTGAATAAATCGCAAGGAAGTCCCAAGCGAGAGCGCGATTCCTAAATAAAATGCGAGGAAGCCTCGGGAGGGAGCGGGGTCCTGCCTAAATTGTAAGGAAGTCTCAGGCGGGAGCCGTTGTTGTTGTAACCTGGGGGTCAGGGGCCCAGTTTGAGCAGGAAGACTTTCCCTGTCAAAAAACAAGGTGCGAGCGTCGAGGGGTACACTGTGATTGAGAAAAAACAGTATGCACCGGTGGGGGGGGGTCAACAATAATAATTCTCCAGGAATGAGAATTCAACAACAACAACAACAACAACAACAACAACAACAACGACAACGACAACAACAACAATCATTTTACCCGAACGCGTGGTGTTCTCCCCAGTGCCAGGGTTTTCATACGACACCAGGCAATACCCCCACTTCGGGGCATTACAAGCTCTACCAAATATCCAAACGACTCTTCGCGACCACCCAAACCCAGCTTCCCGCCCTATGACGTTGGGACACTTCACTTCGTGGCATGCGGACGACCGTGGCTACTATTCAGGGCCCCGCGGCCGACGACGACGGCGTGCGCGCGCGAAGAAAAAACGAATGTGTCCCGCATGGTATTATTTGACAGGGATGATGGCCCTGGCAGGTGCGCAACCGTTGTCGCAGAAGTTCGAAAAAGTTGCTCGCAAAAGCCCGTTTGACAGAAATGTTGAAAAAGTGTTGGGTTTCCTACGAATCCGCAAGAGCGCGCGGGATGAGATTTTGACATTTTTTTTTGAAAAACCATTGGGTTTTTGATGTTTTTATGTTAAAATCGCTCCGAACACTAAGCTTTTGGAAGGATTTCGTCTTGCGCGCGCGAATGTCCACTTTACCTTATTTTTTGCAAGGGATTCTTGAAATTTGATTATATTAGAACAAGAAATGTCATTTTATAGTGTTTTTTGCAAGGGAAAACGGATTACAACAAAACAACCGGATCTTGATCACCTCGAATTACCTGAGGCTTCCTCACGAAAATGATGAAAACGTGGCTGCGGCCTAGGCGCGGCGGGGGGGGCGCGCACCAGGGGGCCCAACAATAATTATTCTTTAGAATTAATAATGTTCAACAACAACAACAACAACCACCACAACCACAACCACAACCACAACCACAACCACAACCACAAAAACAACCACAACCACAACCAAAAAAAACAAAAAACGATAACACCACCACCAACAACAACAACAGCAACAACAACAAGGTCAAGGCCGTCATGAGAGACGCGTCCCGACGCGCTCGCTCTGACCGCCTCGACTACTAGTACTCAAGGCGGACGACAAGGTCGCCGTTGCTAGCCCCCCCCCCCCAGCAACCCAGCAACCCAGCAACCCAGCAACCCAGCAACCCAGCAACCCGACAACAGAAAAAAACAAAAAAAAAAAAAAAAAAAAAAAAAAAAAACTTATGTCCGCCCAACGAAACCCCAATCAGGTTCCGACGTTTGCTCCGGCGAGGCTCCGGAACGGAGGCCCTACAGGATCTCATAGGATCCTATAGGATTCCTATTGGATCTCATAAGACCCTTTAGGATCCTATAGGATCCCTATAGGGTCCTATAGGATCCCTACAGGATCCCTATAGGGTCCCTAGAGGATCCCATAGGATCCTATAGGATGCCTATAGGATCCCTAAAGGATCCCTATAGGATCCCTATAGGATCCCTATAGGGTCCCTATAGGATCCCTATAGGATCCGATAGGATCCCTATAGGATCCCTATAGGGTCCCTATAAGATCCCTATACGCTCCTATAGGGATCCTATAGGATTCCTATAGGATCCTATAGGATCCTATGGGATCCCTATAAGATCCCTCTAGGGTCTCTATAGGATCCCTATCGGATCCCTATAGGATCCCCATAGGGTCCCTATAGGATCCCTATGGGGATCCTAAAGGATCCCCTTTAAGATCCCTATAGGATCCCTGTGGGATCCTATAGGATCCCTATAGGATCCCTATAAGATCCCTATAGGGTTGGGGGGGTCCCCTATTAGGGTCCCCCTAAGTCCCTAATGGGATCCTACAAGGATCCCTATAGGTATCCTATAGGATCCCTATAGGATCCTATTGATCCCCTATTAGGATCCCTATAGGGTCCCTATAGGATCCCTATAGGGATCCTATAGGATCCTATAGGGATCCTATAGGATCCCTATAGGGATCCCTATCGAATCCCTATAGGATCCATATACGATCCTATAGAGATCCTATAGGATCCCTATAAGATCCTACAGGATCCCTATAGAATCCCTATAGGGTCCCTATAGGATCCCTATACGACCCTATAGGGACACCTATAGGATCCTATAGGATCCTATAGGATCCTATAGGATACTATAGGATCCTAGGAGGGGCCAAAATCCTCGACAGGGGTGTGCCGAAATGAAGCTTCGGTGGAGCTCCCTGTGGGGCCAGGGCCACGATCCTCGAGAGGGGTGTGCCGAAATGAAGCTTCGGTGGGGCTCCCTGTGGGGCCAGGGCCACGATCCTCGACAGGGGTGTGCCGAAATGAAGCTTCGGTGGAGATCCCTGTGGGGCCAGGGCCACGATCCTCGAGAGGGGTGTGCCGAAATGAAGCTTCGGTGGAGCCCCCTGTGGGGCCAGGGCCACGATCCTCGAGAGGGGTGTGCCGAAATGACACTTCGGTGGAGCTCCCTGTGGGGCCAGGGCCACGATCCTCGAGAGGGGTGTGCCGAAATGACACTTCGGTGGAGCTCCCTGTGGGGCCAGGGCCACGATCCTCGAGAGGGGTGTGCCGAAATGAAGCTTCGGTGGAGCTCCCTGTGGGGCCAGGGCCACGATCCTCGAGAGGGATGTGCCGAAACGAAGCTTCGGTGGAGCTCCCTGTGGGGCCAGGGCCACGATCCTCGAGAGGGGTGTGCCGAAATGAAGCTTAGGTGGGGCTCCCTGTGGAGCCAGGGCCACGATCCTCGACAGGGGTGTGCCGAAATGAAGCTTCGGTGGAGATCCCTGTGGGGCCAGGGCCACGATCCTCGAGAGGGGTGTGCCGAAATGAAGCTTCGGTGGAGCCCCCTGTGGGGCCAGGGCCACGATCCTCGAGAGGGGTGTGCCGAAATGACACTTCGGTGGAGCTCCCTGTGGGGCCAGGGCCACGATCCTCGAGAGGGGTGTGCCGAAATGACACTTCGGTGGAGCTCCCTGTGGGGCCAGGGCCACGATCCTCGAGAGGGGTGTGCCGAAATGAAGCTTCGGTGGGGCTCCCTGTGGGGCCAGGGCCACGATCCTCGAGAGGAGTGTGCCGAAATGAGGCTTCGGTGGAACTCCCTGTGGGGCCAGGGCCACGATCCTCGAGAGGGGTGTGCAGAAATAACACTTCGGTGGAGGTCACTGTGGGGCCAGGGCCACGATCCTCGACAGGGGTGTGCCGAAATGAAGCTTCGGTGGAGCTCGGCCCCACCGGTCCCACAGATCCGCCGCCGCCGCCGCGGCCGCGCCGTGGATGGGGGCTACATGCGGGGCGTAGCCCACCCCCAGGGGGGGGTGCCGAAGGCCGTTCGGGAGGAGGGGGTTGCTGGGTTGCTGGGTTGCTGGGGGGGGGGGCGACCTTCACGACCGCCTTGCTCAACAACAACAACACAACAACCACGACGACGACGACAACAACAACAGCAACAACAATAATAACGACGATGACGACGACAACGCTAACGACTACAGCAAACACAACAAAAGCATCATCATCATCATCATCATCATCAACAACAGCAATAATCATTTTGAAACTGCTCGCTTTTATCTGCTCACGTGCCATGCAACACGTATATTTCAGACCCTCGATACCCGCACTCTTCGTCTTCGATCGTACCCCTTAGAAGTACATCTTTCTTACCTGCAACGTGTATTTCATGCAGCCCCCTAAGGCAGGGGAAGAGAGGCCGGATGGAAAGAAAAGGGACATGGGGCAGGCGGGTTGCTGAAGCGTACGTCCTGCATGAATCGCGGGGAAGTCTCGAGCCATAGCGCGATTCCGAAATAAATCGCGAGGAGATCCATAGCGAGAGCGTTGTCAGGGCGCAGCGCTTAAATAACTTGCGAGGAAGCCCGCGGGCGCACCACCACTCGCAGCCCCTCTGACCCCAAAGAGCAGCAAGACGTGTGCCTGACGTTCTCGCCAACGAAGAATTCCACCTCGGCGAGCATCTCCGTGCGGTCGCAGTCCGCGGCCGCGGTGGCGGTCCCCGCACAGGCTGTTGGCGCCAGCTGCTTCACCTGGGCACTGGGCAGCTTCCCTCTCAATTTCAGACGTTGAGTCCCCTGTCTCTCTCTCTCTCTCTCAATTGTTTTCTCTCTCTTGCTCTCTGTCTCTCTCTCCTCTCGCTCTCGTTCTCTATCTCTGTCTCTCTCTCGTCATCTTTCTCTCTCTTTCTCTCTTTCTCTCGCTCTCTTGCTGTTTTTTTCTCTCTCTCTCTCTCTCTCTCCCTCTCTATTTCCCAAACAATACTTGCACTTAGGGGGTGCTACTTATGTCACTCAGCAATTGGATGGGTCTGGCGAGAATGTTCCCATTTGCCGCCCGTGGCCGCCTAGTGGCCGCCTCGTGCGCTGGGTGCGTCCGGCGAAGTTTCGCCACGATGCCGCCCGTGGCCACCTCGTGGGCGCACCGTGCGTACACTACATAGCTCCCACCGCATAGATTGTGCAGCGTAGCTTACACCACATAGCTCATACCGCAGATTGCAAGCATAGCTTACACCGCATAGCTCACAGATCATAGCTCGCACCACATAGGTTGCCGAACGTAGCTTACACAGCACAGCTCGCACCAAATAATATTGCACAGCCTAAATTGCACCAGATATAAACATATATATAGATATGAATATATATATATATATATCACCACATCGATTTACACCACAGGGATCGCACCACACATATATAGCTTACACCACATAGCTCATACCATATGGTTTGTACCACACAGCGTACACCTCATAGCTCACACCACATAGATATCGCCACACAACTTACACGATGCAGTTCCAACACCTCATAGCTCACACTGTATAGAGGTCCACGCTGGCTAACATGGATTAGATGAGCATGTAGATAGATGACTCGACCTACTCATTCGTGTCTACATATACATGCACACAGAAGGCATGATATGATATAGATATATGTATACACATATATCTACACACGCCTGTGTGTAGAAAGGGAGTATCACATACAACCCCAGTTCATACACACATATACACACACCTGCATACGTATGGCCACGCACGCCTACCTGCAGAGGGGGGCACGAGGTTCAATCTGGATCACTGTATGTCACCATCCCACTGGCCCCCCCGCCCTCACCAAGGATGCGGCAGCAACGTGGCGACAGCTGCACGCCTGACAATACCCGCGGAGGGCGAGGTCTCGTATGGATCCCCAAAAGGCCCCGCCTCGCTGGACCCCGCAGGGACGCGTTAAGGCGGCGACATTTGCACGCCTGACAGCACCCAGGGAGGGCAAGACTGCTCGTGGACCCCAATACCCGTCGGTCGGAAGAAGTGGGTTGAAACGTCAAGTACGAAGGCGTCGGAAGTAGGTTGGGCTTCACCCCGCCCCCTAAAGAGTAGGGAAGAGGAAAACCGTTCGACTCTTGAGGTAAGAAGGCGGCTAAAGCAGATTGGAAGTTGGGGATCCAAGAATACCTACTTTCAACGACCGGCAAGTGAGCCACTATTCCACTGGAACCTTCAGGGGCGCATCAACGAGGCGACAACGGAACGCCTGGCAAAACACAGAGCGCGAAGTCGGATTTGGATCCTCGCACATCATGCCACCACCCCACCCCCCTGGGCCCCAGCAGGGGCACAGGAAACCTGGCGACGCCTGCACGCCTGGCAGCACGTTGGCGCGGTGTCGGCTCGGATCCCTGTATGCCACCGCCCTGGTGGGCCCTTCACTGGCAAAGCGAAATTGACGGGGCCCCAGGACACAAATAAATACAAGCAAATAAAAAGACTCCCCATATTTTTCCATATTTTCCGGGTTTCTGTCTTCCCCCCCACTTCCCAGAGTTTCCCATATTTTCTGGGGAATCGAAGATTAATTGTGCCTGTGTTTCTTTTCCTCCTGAGAAACAAACCCGCGACGCTTCAATGTGCGGAAACAGCCACGGAAGGGGGAGGTCTCCTGTGGATCCCTGCCCGCAGGACACCAGTCCGCTGGACCCCCTGGGGGTGCAGCAAAGCGGCGACACGCCTGGTAACACCAAGCGAGCACAACCTGCGTGTACGCGTGGAAGATACCATTCCGAAGGAGGCGGGAGGAAGAAAGAAAATAGCATGCTCAATTCGAAACGACGACCCAACACGGGAGGTTGACGAGAATGAGAAACTGTGCACTTCTATGTGTTCGCTTACGGGGTTATCCAACTGCATATCGGCATGGGAGAGCTTCAGAAGTCCCCAAGTAGGCGTCCAAGACGGCCTCCAGACGGTCCCATAACGGCCTGATGATTCTTCAAGACGGCCCAAGCGAGATCCAAGACAGTAATAAGACAGGTCCACTTGCCCCGAAAATAATTCAATTGAGCCTCCTCTGGAAAACTCAACTGAACGATCACGACCAAAATAGCTCCCAGAACCCAGATGAGCTCAAAACGAGTTCCCAACGGCCACCACCCCAAGAGACTCTTTAGAGGGCTCAAAGAGGCGCCCAAAGAGGTGCCAAATAATCCCACCAAACACCTCAAGAATGCAGGAAGAGGAAGAGCACGAGGCTGTGGACAAGGAGGGACGGTGAAGACCCGCGCCAGTTCAGACAGCGCATCGAACAGGAACAAATTTTAAGCTCAACCTCGTTTCTGCTGTGATGCTGCGGCGGCGCGGCGGCGGGAATTGCCGCAGGCAGCTGGGTACTACTGCCGAGTCGCCTGGCACGGTGGTGGGGCTTACCACTGGCGAATGGATACGTCGGCACATACTAGGGGGCCACATGCAAACCCTACCCCTACCCCCCACGATTCCTGAGGGGGAGGGTGGGGTTCACTTCGTTCGGGAGCTCGCGAGCGAAGTGAACCCCACACTCCCCCTCAGAAATCGTGGGGGGTAGGGGTAGGGTTCGCATGTGGCCCCCTACATACGTCCATCGAGTCCGAGTTCGGGACTCGCACAGGACGCATCTGCAGAACCAAAAGGACCAAAACCGACGTACACCAAAAAGCACTATGCTTCCCTCCGACCTCGGCACGGGGGGGCACCCGAGCGGGCCCCACCCCCGCCGCACCGGGATGCCCCTAAAGCACTGGGGCTCATGCCCTCGCCACCACTGCCCATGCAAGCCATCTGGCGTGACCCGCCCAGGGACACTTGGCTCGGGTCTCCTCGCTCTCCTCCCTCCCTTCCTCCCTCTCCCCCTCCCTCCCTCCCTCACATCACTCCCTCACCCCTCCTTCCGAGGACCTGGATGCCTGCTGCACGTTGTCGCACCACGTCGGCCGCCGGGAGGGAGCGCATGCTCGGCTGGGGGGCACGCTGGAGCTAGGCTTCGCGCACATCAACTACGACGGGGTGCTCGTGGAGCCGCTCTCCGAAGGCATCGCCGAGAGGTGCACGCTGTGCCTTGACCGTGTCCGTGCTGCACGGATGAGCCGATGCCCTTCCTCCTCGCCCGGGGCCACGGTGTGCGCGCGGGGATCTGCGCGCCTGCAGGGTGGACGGGCAAGCCGTGGCTGGCCACTGGCTGTCCTCGCCCCCCCGTGAGTGCAGGAGCTGGTGGCCACACTGCGCCTGGAGTGCCCGCTCCCGTCGAGGGCTGCCCTCGGCGCTGATGCGGATCTGGAGGCATCCGCCTTGCAGGCGCTGGACCAATGCGCCTTCAGTCGGCGGTGCTTCACGCAGGCGGCCCGGAGCTAATTGGCTTCCAGCCGAGGAGCGGCGCAGGCCCTCCTCGGCGACGTAGCCGAGAGGGCCTACTGGCGCAAGGCTAAAACCCACACGAAAACCTCGAAGCACGTCGTGATGGTTCCTGGGGGCCGGCGGTGGTCCAGGCGGCGACGGCATCCCCCCCGCTAGCTCTGCAGCTGAAAGGGCAGCCCCCCGTGGACGCCTGCGTTCTCCAAAAATACATGATTGAGCCTGCCGCGACGCGGGGACCTTGACCTGGCCAACCTCCGTGCTCAGCGTCTCGAGGCCGCGGCATCCCAGGCTGCGTCACCTGCAGGACACGCAGCCAAGCGTGCCCTTCCATTGGCCGCTGCTGTTGTCCATCTCGAGGCCTGGACTGAGGGGGGCCTCCCGTTCGGGCGGTGGCTCTGGCCAGCGGACGAGGCCAGCGATGCGGCGAAGGACGCCTCGCATGAGCGGCGGGCTCAGCTCTTCTTGAATATTCCGCCCTGGCGCGGGCGCCCAGCTGCAGTTAGGGGGGACGCGGTCTGGATCGAGTTCTGCTGCAGTGAAGTCGCCGCCCAGCGCGCGTCCATGTAGGCCCTCCTGGATACAGACATATACAGGAAGTCTTCCTCCTCGCCCACGAGTACGCCCTGCCAGAACATGGGCCAAGGTTTCCCTTGGCCCTCCTCGTCCAGTCGGGTCTTCCTGACTGGCCCGCGTGGTTGATGTCGCACGAGGGAGGCACGTTGACACCCTATAAGGCGGACAGATGTACGTGATCGAATGGACGCCAAGTGTTTTGCCACGTGAGCTGAGGCTGCCGCGCAGCACATGCCTCCGCGCCCGTACGTCGCGCTGCGCCTGGCGATGTCCCAGGACGTCCACAAGGCCCTGGGCCCCGGCCTCGAGTGGGACAAGCTGGTGGCGCAGCGTTCTCTGCTCCCCTCTTGCTTGATCGATGCCCTCCAAGATGGCCCCAGAGCACTCCCAAGGCTCCCAAGAGCGTTTCAAGAGGGCCTCAAGAGGCGCCCAGGAGGCCCCAGGAGGCCCCAACAGGCGCCCAAGAGGCCTCCAACAGCGCTCCCAAGAGACCCCCAAGAGGCCCCAAGAAGCTCTCCGAGGCACCCAAGGCGCTCTAAGAGGCGTCCGGGACCGCCAAGAGGCCCCCAAGACGCTCCAAGAGGCCTCCTCTGGGGGGCCCTTCCTCAGCGTGCTGCCCACTTCCCTGATCGAGGCAATTCCTCTGGGCATCGCTTCTGGATGGGCTGGTGGGGTTATTTTTTTTGGTCGCGGCCGCGAGACGACGGTCAGGCGGCAAGAGCAAAGTCCAGAACGCGAGCTAGGCGAATTAGCTAAGACAGGCGCAAGCCGGCCGGCCCACTCAGAGAGCAGCTGCGAAGCTGAGGGGGGTGGAGCTGACGGCGGACGGCGCCCTGCAAGCTCGAGCACGTGCACAGGACAAAATGTCTCGGAATTCAACGCTTGCCATGGCGCAACGCACACAGAAGAGACGGGGACCACGATGGTCAGTCCGTTGTGCTGGGTGATGGCACATAAGAAGCCATTGGAGTGAGTCGCCAGTGGGGCGCCAGGCTCCGAACGCCCTGACGACCTGAGCTAGCCAGACAGGCTGAGCAGTCGTGAGCCGCGGTGCAACGCAACTGGGGAAGCTGAAGGTGGGCCCGTAGGGCTGTACCTGCTGCGTAAGGCTGTACCACTCTGCACCAAAGCCAGCCCCTGTCGCTGGTGGGCTTACTTTTTTGGTCGGCGGTCGCGCGACAACGGTCTGGCGGCAACATGCGATGTCCAGGACGGCGGTATAAAGCTAATTGCACACAAAGGGTGCGGTGCACGTGCACTGAGCAAAATGCTCCACATTCGCAAGCAGACGCACCTAGGCGCCGCCCAGTCCAGAGAGTACACGAGCGGCCAGTAGGGCGAGTGCTACGGAGGGAGTCGCCCTTGCGGCGCCAAGCTCCAAAGAACTGGTGGGATTACGCGAAGCGTCTAGAATTGAGCACTACGCCCCTCCCCCTCCGGCCCGGTTTGGTGCCCCGGGCGACCGCCACCACGGTCGACGAGCATGCGGTCTGGCAGCCTGGTCGGCGCCCAGCCCAGAGCGGCGAGCCTGGAGGGGGGGGGGGGGCGCTAAGCCTCACGCACTCGAGGAGAGGTCAACGTGGTGCAGGACTCCTCCACCACCGCTGCCGCCTTTTCTGGGAAGGGGAAGGGGGTAGCGGAGAGGGGGGGCAGGTCAGACGAGCTCGATGACGTGGAGGAGGAGGCGGAGGAGGGCGACGACAAGGACGACGAGGAGGAACCAGGGTCCAGAACGGGAGCCCGAACCGAACGCAGAGGAATGGGAGGGGACCGAAGTGAAGGGCGGCGAAAGGAACCGGCCCCACAAGGGCCCTACAGAGCACTACCAGGGTGCACCTCACCACCAAGGCGCAACCAGGCGACGGGGGGCGGCAAGGCGTTAGACTGGGACCAAGGCCAATCCGCATTTGGAGAGGGATGGCCGCTCTTGGGCTCGCGTCCTGATCCAAGTTGGAGGGCAGAGAGTTCGAGGACGAGGACGGAGAGGACAGCGACACCCCAACAGGCGCCTCCCCACGGCTCCGCCCCGCCCTCCCTCCCCAGCCCTCCCATCCCATGTCATCTGTCTTGGCAGTACGGACAGCATGCCAAGCACACATCCCAGAAGCCCGTTGCCAGCTCTGTGCTGAACCATCCAGAATGGCTACGAACGGCACATGCAGAGACCGCCAAAGAGCCAAAGCCGAGAAACCACCAAAGGATCAGTGCATCCGCCAATGTACCAGTCATGCCCTCTCTCCTTCCATCGGCCCTTGCCTATGGCTTGGAGCCCAATCAGCATTATGCACTGCGTGAAGCTCCCCATATGTGCACTAGTAGCATGGGCCACAAAAGTGTTCGAATATAACCAGGCTTGAATATTGACGGCTTGCGAGTGAGTCTAACTGTGAATGAGTTGGAGTGTGAATGAGTCTCAATAGTATTAGTGCGTCTCTGCGCATAAGCCTGGGGCCTCCTGGGGTCTCTTGAAACCTCATCGGGCTTCTTGGGGCCTCCTGGAGCCTCTTGTGGCCTCCTGGTGCCTTTTGGAGCTTTCTGTGGCCTCCTGAAGTCTCCTGGGGCCTCGTGTGGCCTCCTGGGGCCTCCAGGAGCCTCTTGGAACCTCCTGGGGCCTCCTGGGGAGGATTCGTACCCCAGGAGAGGCCCAATATGTAGGAACAGGCGTAAAACACTTCGGATTGAAGCCACAGGAGGGGGCAAAATCCGCCGACCCTGTCGGCGTGTGGAAGAGGCTTTGTTGTTTGCTGCTTCTTCCTCGTCGTTCCTTTGTCCCGTTTCCCTGCAGCGTCGTCGTTTTTTGCCCTTTCCTTTTCCTCGTCGTCTCTGAATAAAAGGGAAGCCCCTTCCCTTTCTTCCCTTCCCCACGCGAGGAAGGGGGGTCCCGTTCCTTTTCCTCGTCGTCTCTGAATCAAAAGGAAGCCCCTTCCCTTTCTTCCCTTCCCCGCGCGGGGGGGGGGTCCCGGGGGGGGTAGCGAGGGGGGGTAGCGAGGGGGGGTAGCGAAGAGGGGTAGCGACGGGGGTCCTGGGTCAGATACGCCGCCCTCCTGGGGATCCTCCGTCAGAGGGAACACCCTTCCCTTTCTTTCCTTCCCCGCGCGGGGGGGGGGTCCCGGAGGGGTAGCGAGGGGGGGTTGCGAGGGGGGTTAGCGAGGGGGGTCCTGGGTCAGATACGCCGCCCCCCTGGGGCTTCTCGGTCAGATACATCGCCGTCCCGGATTCGCAATGTCGCCTCTGAATCAAAGGCAAGCCCCTTCCCTTTCTTCCCTTCCCCGCGCGAGGGGGCGGGGGGGTCCCGAGAGGGGGTAGCGAGGCGGGGTAGCGAGGGGGGTAGCAAGGGACAGAGGCACCTGAGATGCCCATCAGACGTTCCAAGAGGCATCTCAAATTAACAAGCCACTCTCGTGTTAAATTCTGTCCTTCGGGTCTTTGTGCCGACGACGACGACGACGACGAGGACGACGACGACGACGACGCGTGCGACGTCGACGACGACGACGACGACGACGACGCCGAGCGAGGACAGAATTTAAAACGCCACTCGCGTGTTAAGTTCTGTCCTTGGGGCCCAAGTGCCGACGCGACGACAAGGACGACGACGACGACGACGAGTGCGACGTCCACGACGTCGACGTCCACGACGACGACGACAACGACGACTCGAGGACAGAATTTAACACGCCACTCTCGTGTTAAATTCTGTCCTTCTGGTCCTTGTGCCGACGACGACGACGATGACGACGAGGGCGACGACGAAGCGTGCGACGTCGACGACGACGACGACGACGACGACGACGACGACCACGGACGACGAAACGAAATTAACACGCCACTCTCGTGTTAAATTCTGTCCTTCGGGTCCTTGTGCCGACGACAACGACAAGGACGACGCGTCGTCGTCGCGACGACGGGTGCGACGACGACGACGACGAGGACGACGGGCGACGACGACGACGACACGAGGACAGAATTTAACACGCCACTCTCGTTTCATATTCTGTCCTCGGGGTCCTTGCGCCGACGACGCGGACGACGGCGACAACACGAGGACAGAATTTAACACGCCACTCTCGTGTTAAATCCTGTCCTGGGGGTCCTCGTGCCGACGCCGACGACGACGACGACGACGCCGACACGAGGACAGAATTTAACACGCCACTCTCGTGTTAAATTCTGTCCTGGAGGCCCCGGTGCCGACGGCAACGACAAGGACGACGACAACGACGACGGGTGCGACGTCGACGACGTCGACGTCGACGCCGACGCCGACGACGACACGATGACAGAATTTAACACGCCACTCTGGTGTTAAATTCTGTCCTTGGGCTCCTTCACTCCTCCGTCTCCTCCTCCTCCCCGCCCTCTCCCCCCTGTTTCCCTCGAGAGCCGATGCCTCCAGGGTCGGCGGCACAGGCTGTAAGGCCAGCGCAATATAGGAACACACGTAAAACACCAAGGACTCGTGCCTCAGGGGAGGTCCAATATATGGGAACAGACGTAAAACGCTCAGGAGTGGATACGCAAGACAAGAACAAGCTATAGAAGCAGACGTAAAACACCGAGGATTCGTGCCCCAGGGGAGGCCCAATCTATAGGAACATACGTAAAACACAAGGGATTGGAGCCACTCCTGCGGCCTTCTGAAGCCTCGTGCTCCTGGGGCATCGTGGGGCCTCCTGGGGCCTCCTGGGGCCTCCTGGTGCCTTCTGGCGATTCCCGTGGCCTTCCCAGGGCCTCCTGGTGCATCCTGGGGCCTCCTGGTGCGTCCTGGGGCCTCGAGGAGCCTCTTGGGGCCTCCTGGGGCCTCCTGGGGCCTCCTGGGGCCTCCTGTTACCTCCTGTGGCCTCTTGATGCCTCCTGGGACCTCCTGTGGCCTCTTGGAGCCTCCTGGAGCCTCCTGTGGTATCCTGAGGGAGATCCGTGCCCACGAGTCTGGCCAGCAAAATAAGCAAAACGATCGAGACATCCTCAAGATCTGGCCCCCCTGTGGTGCGAAAACTAGCGCCTCGCCCAAGACGTCCTCAAAGTCTGCTCCGAAAGCGGAGGATGTTGAGCACCGAAACCGGCAAAACGTTCAAGACATTTCCGCCATGTTGGCGCGAACGGAGGAGTGAGATACCCCCTGGCGGTTTCCCCTTGGGATGCTGAAACCCGCGCCTCGCTCGAGACATCCTCAGAATTGTTCCGCCATCATCATCATCATCATCATCATCATCATCATCATCATCATCATCATCATCATCATCATCATCATCATCATCATCATCATCATCATCATCATCATCATCATCATCATCATCATCATCATCATCATCATCATCATCATCATCATCATCATCATCATCATCATCATCATCATCATCATCATCATCATCATCATCATCATCATCATCATCATCATCATCATCATCGTCATCGTCATCATCATCATCATCATCATCATCATCATCATCATCATCAGCATCATCATCATCATCCTCATCCTCATCAGCATCAGCATCAGCATCAGCATCAGCATCAGCATCAGCATCATCATCACCATCATCATCATCATCATCGTCATCATCATCATCAGCAGCAGCATCATCACCATCAGCAGCATCAGCATCAGCATCAGCACCAACATCATCATCATCATCAGCAGCAGCATCATCACCAGTATCACCATAATCATCATCATCAGCATCATCAGTATCCTCACCCTGGTCCTCATCCTCACCATCGTCATCCTCCTCAACAGCAGCATCATCATCATCGTAATCGCCATCGTCATCATAATCATCATCATCAGGAGCTACAGCATCATCATAATCAGCAGCAGCAGCATCATCAGCGCCATCTTCTTCATCATCATCATACTCAGAATCCCCATCCTCATCTCAGCCTCCTCCTCATCATTATCAGCATCACCATCACTCGCCATCATCATCAGCATCATCATCATCGTGCCATAACATGGCATAATAGAAGGTATTATAGCATAAGATAGCATGAAATGTCAGAACCCTATATGCCATAATATAACATAGCATAACTGATCATGCCATTACATACAATAACGTACTATACCGTGTCGTAACATAACATGTCATTGCATATCGTTGCATACTCTAGTACGGCATAACATAGCATGGCATAGCATGGCATAACATAACATAATACAACATCTGAGTGTGAATCTGGGTGAGGAATGGGAGGAGGAGGAGGAGGAGGAGGAGGAGGGAGGTGAGTGGCGGTTCCGCCTCGGCGCGGTCGGAGTAAAATTTATTCACTCAGTGGAGCCCCCTATAAATGCATATATTAGCATGGACTTGTCGGCCGTAGGTGTCTAGGCGCAATAGTGTTCGAATATAAATGGGCTTGAGTACTGACGGCGTGGGAGTGAATCTAACTGTGAAGAGATTGGAATGAAAATGAGTCTTCAGTATTAGTGCGTCTCTGCGTATGATCCTGGAGCCTTCTGGGGCCTCTTGAAACCTCATTCGGCTTCCTGGGGCCTCCTGGAGCCTCTTGGGGCCTCCTGGAGCCTCTGGGGGCTTCCTGTGGCCTCCTGAGGCCTCCTGGGGCCTCGCGTGGCCTCCTGGGGCCTCCAGTAGCCTCCTGGAACCTCCTGGGGCCTCCTGGGGAGGACTCGTGCCCCAGGAGAAGCCCAATCTATAGGAACAGGCGTAAAACACTTCGGATTGGAGCCACAGGAGAGGGAAAAACTGTAGGAACGCACAGAAAACACCAAGGATTCGTGCCCCAAGGGAGGCCCAATATATAGGAGCATGCGTAAAAAACTTAGGAGTGTATACATGGGATAAGGACAATATACAGAAACATGAGAAAAAAAACACCAAGGGTTCGTGCTCCAGGGGAGGCCCAATCTATAGGAACAAATGCAAAACACCTGGGATTGGAACCACTCCTGTTGCCTTCTGATGCTTCCTGCTCCTGGGGCCTCGTGGGGCTCCCGAGGCCTTCCCGGGGCCTCCTGGTGCCTCCTGGCGCTTCGTGCTGCCTCCTGTGGTCTCATGTTGCCTCCTGAGGCCTCCTAGTGCTTCCTGGGTGGACCCTCATGGGGCCTCCTGGGGCCTCCTGGAGCCTGCTGGAGTCCCCTGTGACATCCTGAAGAGGATCCGTGCCCACGAGTCTGTCCAGCAAATAAGCAAACCGCTCAAGATATCCTCGAACCTGGCCCCCCTTAGGGGCGAAAATGAGCGCCTCGCTCGAGATATCCTCTAAATCTGCTCTGAAAGCGGAGGATGATGAGTCGCGAAACAGGCAAGCTGCTCGAGACATCCCATCCATTTTGGCGCGAACGGAAGAATGAGATACCCACTGGCGGCTCCCCCTTGGGGGTGCTGAAACCCGCGCCTCGCTCGAGACATCCTCCAAATCTGCTCCGAAAGCGGAGGATGCTGAGTCGCGAAGAAAGAAAACCGCTCGAGACATCCCAACCATTATGGCGCGAACGGAGGAATGAGACACCCCTTGGCGGCTCCCCCTTGGGGGTGCTGGGACCCGCGCATCGCCCGAGACATCCGCAGAATTTGCTCCGCCATCATCATCATCATCATCATCATCATCATCATCATCATCATCATCAGCATCATCATCATCATCATCATCAGCAGCAGCAGCATCAGCATCAGCATCATCATCATCATCATCCTCATCCTCATCATCCTCATCCTCATCCTCATCCTCATCATCATCATCAGCATCATCATCATCATCGCCTGCATCTTCATCTTCATCTTTATCTTCACCTTCATCGTCATCTTCATCTTCATCTTCATCATCATAATCATCATCATCAACATCATCAACATCATCAGGATCATGATCAGTAGCATCAGCAACAGCATCATCATCATCACCACCACCACCATCATCAGCAGCAGCACCATCATCATCAGCAGCATCCGCAACATCATCATCATCGCAAGCATCAGCATCATCAGCATCGCAGCTGAGCGTACTATCACATAGCATGTCATGACACATCATGGCATAACATATCATAGCATATCATACCGAATCATGTCATAGCACAGCATGGCATAACAATCAGGTGATACCATAACATAGCATACCATGTCATAGAATAACGTAACATGTCATGTCCAAGCATCACATGACATACCAATACGTACTGCATCATAACAGAACATAATCTAGCATACCATAACGTAACATGAGGAGCTCGGAGCGGTCGGGGTAATCACAAGAACCCCATCCTTTGGATATGGGAACCAAGAACCCCAGCCTTTGGATATGGGGAAAAACATGTGTTACACCCCTTGGGCAGAATCCGGACCAGCTCGTTTGAGCGCTGGCCGCGGCGGCCAGAAAACTCGCCAAGGGTCACACACCCAACCACCCCCGTCCCTACCACCCTGTTAACCTGTTTGGCTTTCTCGCCTTTTCGCTTCCGATGGCCATCCGAAGCCTCAAGATGGCTCCAAGATGGCCCAAGAAGGCTCCAAAAAAGGCTCCAGAGAGCCCCAAGGCGGCCCCAAGAGCGCCTAAGAGCGCTCCAAGAGCACCCCAAGAGCGCCCCAGGAGCGCCCCAAGAGGCGATTGTTTGGGCTCCCGAGGGGCAACGCTCGCTTCTTGTCTGATCGATGTCCCCAAGATGGCCCCAAGAGCGCTCCCAAGGCTCCCAAGAGCGCTTCAAGAGGGCCCCAAGAGGCGCCCAGGAGGCCCAAACAGGCGTCCAAGAGGCCTCCAAGATGCTCCCAAGAGACCCCCAAGAGGCCCCAAGAAGCTCTCCGAGACACCCAAGATGCTCCAAGAGCCCTCGACTGGGGGAGCCTTCCTCTGTGTGCTGCCCACTTCCCTGATCGAGGCAATTCCTCTGGGCAACGTTTCTGGATGGGCTGGTGGGGTTACGCGAAGCGTCTAGAACTATTCCTTGTTCCCATGTCGCACGCATCCTTGGAAGCTGGACCGCGCGCGGAGGAGAGGAGCACCGCGTCGCTTTGGCGCCGCCCAAATGCTTCCTGAAGTTATGTTCTCGAAAGGGCGCGGCGCGTGTTTTGCCTCGCCAAGGCCCCCAAGGCAAACCACTCTCCATGGAATACGGGGTGCTTTCACAAGAAAGGCGCAGGAATGAGCCGGTTTCCACGATACGGTTCAAAACGTCCTAAGCCATGACGTGTCAACACATCGGGGTGGACACACATGGGGCTTTCGCAAACAACCCCAACAGCGAAAGACCAGGGACACACACAGCCCAAACTGGTGCACGCAGCAAGACCCACCTGGACACAGAAAGCACTGGGAGTCGGGAGTGGCCGTCTGGGCAGGCAGTGGGCTTCCCAGAGGGGCCTGGGGACTCCGAGAGGAAGGCAAAAGGTCCTGTCAGAGGCGAGGCGCCGTACTAGAGGGCCACCCATTCGCCCAACCATCTGTTGAGGGGCCACGTTCAGGTGGGACCTGCTCAGGGGGAGAACGCCAACCTGGAATCGGCGACACATCGCCGATGGGCACCCGATTGCGAAACCGCACATTCCTGGGCGGGGTGGTATCCTCCCCAACGTTGCGCCTGGTTTGCGCCCTCCAGGACAAGGTCAGGATGGAAAAGCACGCGGGGGGCACCTGGCGCCGCTCGATCTGGCAGTCCGCCGAGGGCACTGGGAGCCATGGACGGGCCCTCCGCGGCCATCTAGCGTCCGCCGGTACCTCCAGGCGCTGCCCGGGCTTGGTTCCGTCATCCTCATGCTCGTGCCCTCCATTCCCCCACATCCTCCTCGTCCTCAAACCTCACCATTTCCTCAGCATCATCACCACCACCATCACCATCATCACCATGATCAGCATCACCCTCATCATCATCATCATCATCATCATCACCACCATCATCATCATCATCACCATCATCTACGGCATCGGCATCATCATCACCATCATCTACGGCATCGGCATCATAATCAGCATCATCATCAGCATCATCACATCATCAGCAGCATCATCAGCATCACCATTCTCGTTCATCATTATCAACAACACCACAGCAAACAGGCGACGATCCTGGGCGCTAATATACACGGCTGTATTGGATAGACGGAATACTAAACTCCTGTTTCTTTATGTGTTGGAAATACGGACTAATGATCCCTATTGCTCCGTGCATTGAATACAGGGAATAACAGGTTATTGTAACTTCCTGTGTTCGATGCACTGAAAAATACGTTCCTGTAACTGCCTGCGCTGGATACACCTAGCAGCAAATCCTCGACTGCCCCATCAATGGAAGCACATAGTCAAACATTATATTATTCTTTGTTTTCGATACACTGAATAATAGTCCCTGCTGCTCCCAGTGTTGGATACACGGAGGCTCCTAATACATCCCGTATTGGATACACGGAATAGTAGGGTCCCTGCACCCCTGTGTTGAATACACGGAATAAAAAGCTCCCATGACTCCGCGTACACCCTGCACGGCATTCACTGACCAATAAGCTCTCATGACCCCTTGTAGTGAAGTCACGAAATACCACGGTCTGCAAAATCCATGTATTGGACATACGGCATTGTAGGCTCACATTTCTCCCTGTAATGGATACACTGAGTAACAGGATCTGAAGATTTGGCTACACGATGTGATGGGTTCCGAATACCTCGTGTATTACATACACGAGGTCATAGGCTCCGATTACTTCCCATACCGGATACAATGAGGAACAGGTTCCTGTAACTCCTTTTACCCGATTCACGGAATAATGAACTCCTATCACTCCCTGTCTTGGATACACGGATTAAGAGGCCCCTACTGCCACGTGTGCTGGCCACGGGACATAAAATAGCATGACGTGAACAAGCCTGATCTGACAATACGACATACAAGTGTTACAAAAGGAATGTCATTACTTTCGGCCGCACAGCGAAATGCCATTGCTCTGTATATTGGAGGCACTGCGTACCAGGCTCCTACTACTCTCTGGATTGGATTCGCCACCGTGCCTCTGGGGACGGAGTGAGCGCAACCTCAGGTCCTTTGGACAATCCTCTAAGCCTCAATCCTCAATCCTGAAGAGTTTCTGAAGGGCCCGGAGGCCAAATCACTAGGGGTTTGGCGCCGTTTGTCGGGGGGGTCCCGCGTCTTGTCGCTTGAGTCTTTCAGAACCAAAGGCTCCAAGACGGCCCTAGAGGCGTCCAAGACGCCCCAGAGGCCTCACAGAGCCTTCCCAAAAGGGCCCGTCGTGCGACGATCTGGTGAGTCCGTTGGGCCGTCTTAGATGCTGTCTAGACGATCAAGGCGCGTGCTAAAAATGCACGTTTCCCGAAGGGAATGGGACGATTGTTGCCTTTTGGGGCCTTCTCGGCGGTGCTCCTGGAACACTTTGGGCGGTTTGGGTGGCCTTGTGGACCGCTTCGGGGTCATCTTGGATCTTCGTTGGGCTACTCTGGGCCATCGCAACGCTATCTTCGACTGTCTTGGCGATCGGCTGGGCCCTCTTGGGGCCTTTGTGGAAGTCCCAAAACCCACGAAGATGCGTTGACGAGGTCGCGCCTCCCCCCCCCACGTTCCCCCCTTCCCCCTCAAACCGTACCTTGGACCCGGGGGAAGAGGGAGGGGGACAGCCAGATGTCTCACACGCCTTGTCACCCCGGCCGGCGAGGGTCGGCGGATCTAGTGCATCCAACACACAAGGAACAATCCGAACCTACTACCCCGCGTATCCAACACAGGGAATAATAGAAGCGTGATACCCAACGAATTCAAAACTGTGCGTGATGGGAGCCTCTTACCCCGCGTACCCAATACAAGGGGCAGCAAGAGCCTGTGATTCAATATAACGAACGGCCGTCGGCCCATCCCGCCACCATGCCTGACTTGTGGGTCAGATACCCCTGGGATGTTCCTCGGGATGTCGCGGGAGGAATGTCGGGGGCCTTTTGGGTGCCGTTTGTGCCATTTTGCAATTTTCTGGGAGCCGCTGTGGGGCGTCTTCGGGGCCTCTTGGGATCTATCGGGGCATCCTGTGGGCCTTTTGGCGCCTCTTTCGGGTCTCCCTGGGACCTTCTGGTAACCTACTTGGGCGGAAAACTCCAAGATTCGGTTCGTGATCCCACCGTTGAACCCTTCTAGACTTGAAGTATAGCGACCTAGTAATACATGTACGGGATTCTCGGAATATTAAGATCCTATGACTCCCTGGAAAAACAGAATACAAAAATGATTGTTACTGCCCGTGTTGGCCACGCGGGATCATAAACTTTGGCTGCCCCCGTACTGGATACCATGAAAAATAGGCGCCCAGTAATGCCTGCATTGGAAACACAATGTGACAAACCCCAACAACCCCGCGCATTGGATACAGAGCGCAGAATAGCAAGACGCGAGTTGGCTTGACCTGGCAATGCGAAACACAAGCTTTACAACAGGATTGTAAGTACTGTCGGCCGCGAAGCGAAATGTCATGGTTCTGCTTACAGGATGGACTGGAGTTTCAACTCCTATTACTCCAAATGTTGGACATACGGAACGACTTTCCCCGTTGACCCCGGAGGTACAACACACACACACACATTGATGATCATAGATTACATATTGTTTTAGACACGCTGAATGAAAAGCCCCTGCTAGTCCCTCTATTGAATACACGGAGGCTCCACTTACCCCCTGTGTTGGATACACGGAATAATGGGCTCCATGGACCTGCATTGGAAACACGGAAGAAAAAGCTCGAAACAGTAAGACTTTAGAAATCTATGTGTTGCAATACTTGTTGTACTGGAGCCGCGAAGTCGTAAACCTCAAATCCCCCCCGTATGCGCTACACGGGCCAATGGGTGTTTAGTACTATCTGTATTGGATACACGGAACGATGGGTTCCTAATATTCCCTGATTTGGCTACACGGAGCAAGCGGTTCCGTGATTCCCTGCATTGGACACACGGAAGAGAACGCTCGAAATTGAAAGACGGGCATGGTCTCTGCATTGTAATTGCCCTTGTATTGGAGCCGCGAAATCGAAATTGTAAACTCCAAATACTCCCTGTCTGCTGTACACGGGGCAATGAGTGTCTAGTACTCTCTGTAGTGGATACACAGAGTAAAAGGCTTCGAACATTCCCTGCCTTGGATACACGGGCCAAACGGCTCCGATATACCCCGGTACTGGATACACGGAGTGACAAACTGCTTGCCCCCCTTGTATTGGATCCACGAAAGAACATGCTGCTATTACTAGCTGTATTGGCCACACGGAATACCAGGGTCCTGCTACTCCCTGTTTTGGAAATACTGAAAACTGAAACCCCAATACTCTCTGCACAGGTCGGTTCCGATTACCCAGTAGGCTCCTATGTCAAGAAGAATCCGAACCGAACTGGTAACCGTGAACCAGCGGCTCCTGCAACCGAACCGCCCGAACCGGAGCCCGAACCGGACCGGCTGAAACCGGACCGGGCGGTTCGAACCGAACCGGCCGGTCGAAACCGGCCCGAACGGCAAGCCCGAACCGGGTGGAACCGAACCGGGCCCCGGGACTCCCCACCGGCCCGGGGAGCCCCCCAACCCCCGGTGCCGGCCCCCCCCCCCCGGTGCCGGCACCCCCCCCCCCGGTGCCGGCACCCCCCCCCCCCCGGTGCCGCCCCCCCCCCCCCGTGCCGGCACCCCCCCCCTCCCCCCCCGGTGCCGGCCCCCCCCCCGGTGCCGGCACCCCCCCCCCGGTGCCGGCCCCCCCCTCCCCGGTGCCGGCCCCCCCCCCACCGCGGTGCCAGCGCCCCCCTCGGGGGTGCAGCAGGGCGCGGGGGGGGGGAGGCGAGGACCCCCTCCTCCCTCCTCCTCCTCCCTCCTCCTCCTCCTCCTTCTCCCTCCTCCTCCAGGCGGCAAAGCAGCTCCAGGCGGCCGAACCCCGGGCCCCCGGAGGCCCGCGTTTTCCGGCCCCGGGGCCGCGGAGACGAGGGGAAGAGCGGCATGAGGGAAGGGGCCGAGAGGTCCGGGGGCGCCCGACGACGACGACGACGGCGACGACGACGACGACGACGACGGCGGCGACGACGACGACGACGACGACGACGACGACGACGACGACGACGACGACGACGACGACGACGACGACGACGACGACGACGGCGACGACGACTGCAGCGAGGCACCTCGCCGGGCACCTCTCCTAAACCTCCTCCTCCTCCTCCTCCTCCTCCTCCTCCTCCTCCTCACTCCTCCTCCTCCTTCTCCTCCTCCGGCCCAAAACCGGCCCCCCCAAAACCGGACCGTCCCGCGACCGCCGAACCGAACCGGCATAACCGACCCGGACTGGCAAAACCGGACCGACCAAAACCGGACCGGCGCCGAAATCGAACCGCTGCAACCGAACCGGTCCGCCGCCGAACCGGCCCGAACCGGCCCGAACCGGACACTTCCTGCTATGTCCACAACAGAAGATGCACAAAGAAGTAAGGCCCGAGTGCCCCGTATATTTGATGCAATTAATAGAATAGCAAAGCGTCGACGGGCCTCATCTGGCAACACAAAATATGAAGATGTCTTTTAAACACATATTCTAAAAATGCTGCGTTCGACACTAGGGAAGAGGGTCACGAATGCCGTGTTTAAATACACAAAATAGCTGGCACCTATCACTCCCTTTGTTGGATGCACGGGGTAAGGGGCTCCTTGTGTAATCCCTATTCCTGCCACTCCCTGTCGTGGACACACTGAATAGTAA